TTAGTTTGACAACTAATGTCATGAGTCTCCAAAGATTAAATAATTAAATGTGTATTTTTTGTATCTAGTGTTTTGTGAATTTTGTATATTTGGGTGGCGTACATTAGGCGTAACCCTCGTTAAGTTGTGTAAAACACCCTGTACAAGATGTCCCAAAAATAAGTGCATTACATTAAATAATAGTTAAAAGTTATAAAACATCTTATTAATGACATTTTCATCCAAACTATTTAAATATTGTATGAAAAGTATAAAAATTATCTTTTTGATACCTTCCAATAAAAATCATGGTCGATATAGAAAATATCGTATAAATATCTTTTCTGTTAGAGTTAATAATTCCATAAATGTAAAAGAAATAAATAGACTATTTGTCAAGTACGTGTTTGAGGGAGAATAAAATGAAAACAATGTAGTGTTTTTTTTAATTCTTAGCACTTTTCTGGACCAATTTGAATTTATCACATTGTGAAGACTAGTATTCCAAACGTCTAAACAATTTATTAAAATAATAACTACCAGTTATAAAGAGTGCCAAATTTTGTGTAAGACGCGGAGGGTCTAACGTTCAAAAACAAAAAGTGTTCATTACAACAATAAATTGAAATTAAAATAATTAGTGGTAAACAAAGAAAATTACTAAATACTATTACTACTATTACTACTACTAAGTAAAAATATTAGTAAAGATTATTTTAGTGAAAAATTTTGTAATAATTGTTGAACTATTTTTGAAGGTTAAGATTTGCTAAAAAAAAATTTTTTGTAGACGCTCCCGAAAATAGCTGTTTTAGGGACTTAAATTAGTTTTTTACAGACTCCGTAAAATGGTTATTTTAGGTATACTCAGTCCCCAAAAACAGTTTTTTTGGACGAAAAAGTCAATTTGGTTGCTATGCCAGCAATTTTTTTTTAATTAATAAAAAGTGTAAATTCGGAGATTTAACAAAAAAATGTTGTTTGTAACACGTACCTAAAACGTTTTTACGGACTCATTTGCTATTCCAGCATCGATTCGTCCCCAAAAACTGTATTTTAGGTAACAAATATAACTAATTTGTTGTTGTTTTTAAATTTAAAGATAATTTTTATCTAGGACATTCTATATACAGAGATAGATCCACTAAATCAATACACGGTGATCAACTCACAAACTGTGCTAAGAAAATGTTATAAAAAAAATAGAATAGTCAGTTTTAAATAAATGTTTCACTCTGTATGTTTCTTGTTTGTTGGAGCTTTTATGCATAAAGTCACAGTTGTAATCCATCACATTTTGACGGTCTCTTAACTAATAGCGTAATAAAATCTCCAGACTAGCGATGAGATACGACATGACCGTAGTACTACACATAATTTCATTTAATTAATGCTACATTAAATACGGAAATAAAACATTACAGACAATATAACACTGATACAAGTTACGAGAGCTCCTTTGTAGACACAATAGAGTATTCGAAATAATTCACCGTGACAAAAGAATACTTATATATCAGTGCCATTGTCCTTTAACAAAAGTAATGAACGCACTATTCGATGCGTCGTTGCTTGCCCTTTGACCTTACTTTTTTCTCCTTCTTCTAACTCAATCTTTGCTTGATAGTCTTGTCAGGGAGCGCAATTAACACTTTGTTACATTCGGAGCCATAAATCGACCTAAATGACAAAGATATTCCACAAATCCTGTGTCACCTTATTTGGAATAAGAGGATTTAGTCTGGAAGTAGTACAAGAGGACAGATGTTGCCAGCAATGAGAACAAGAATTAACTTTTCTTGAGTTTATGTTTCTCAGTTTTGAAAATAAAAATGGACGAAATAGAAAGAATTTTTTTTTAATTTCAATCCAAGTCGGTTTAAATCCTGACACAAGAACTGTTTTAGAGATAATTTATCTTAATGCTGCTTTATCGTCGAACAACGGTCGATAAGTCCTCTTTTCTCTCGATTAATAGTGTTTTTCGTTAATTGATGATGTTGGACCACCTGCAAACCCGTGGGAATCCCCTGAAAGTAACTTTTCATTCCTCGAGGAGCACTTGAATGTTTGAAATTCGCCGCCACTCTGAGGGCAAAAACGGTCTCATATTCGACCATAATAGAATTTTATAATCTTTTGGATGTTCCATAAGGACGCTTTTTCCGACTAGTTTATCATCAGTCGGCATCTTTTTGATAGCAAGCGCTCGGAAAACAAGAGGGAATGAAACTGTTGTGTTGTGGCATGCCTCAAGTCAAAACTAATTCTCCGGATTACCACAGTACAGCTTTATTTTTATCTAGACTCAGATTTATTTTCACGGTTTTGTGGGGGTTTTCAAGCGTAATTATTGACTTTATCCGTTAAGAAATGTTCTTGCCTCAAAACCGAATTATAAAATTTTTAATGACTAGAGAGCAATTAACAGTTGAACTTTTATCTGAATCATTTACAGAATAAGGCCGAAAAGCGTCCATCGCTAAACCAAGCACGTTTTGCCACTTAAAGATGAGGCGACTGCCAAATAACGCATTAGACTTGATCCCCAACAAAATAAAACTTTTTTATAAGACGACACTAATGCTTTTTTAAAACATTAAAGCATTCACCTAGAATACCCAATTATTGGTTTATGGATGTAATAAAGTAAAAGTTGCCAAACTCATTTGTAATGCTAACGTAGCTTTTGGCGAATTTTTTCAATTTTTTGATTAAATTATGGACAGGACGGTTTTATTAAACGTAAAGTTATTGTTATTGGGAGCTCCGAACTAATTTAAACTTGAAGCCATTATAAATAACTTTTAGCGAGGTAATTTGCAATTTCCTCACGTACGAGATAGTCTCTAGGTAAAATAGACTCAAAGGGTGTTTATGACTAGATGGGTGCAATGTCACTTTTAATTAAAATTGCATTTATTCAATCCTCTATCGTAAAATTGAATTTTATCTACTCATTTGTTCATGTTAAAATGAAATTTTATCGTCTAGATGATAAAAAATACATCTATTGTTGTATATCTGCGGTTGTTACTTGCTAACGACCTTTGACATTAGATTTCATGGTTGAATTTTATTTTGACATTTGTAAATATCGACCAAATTGATTACAAAATTAGTAAGGCTTGAATAAAATTTTATATTGTACACGACGATAAAATTTTCATTATCTTTTCGAGCATATTAGCTAAATTGCTCTCAAAGATAAAATTCAATTTTATCGTCCTGTAAGTATAATAAATAACTATTAATGTGTACATTAATATAATACAATTGTTAAAATAAAAAATCATTTTTTTTTGCAAAAATTGTCTTTTTCCACAATTTGGATTTGGATGTTAGCTCATACAAGGTGACAAATAATAAAATATCATAACTACCTAGAAACTTTTTTAATCTTAATTTATTTAAAAAAATGAATGCGGGGCACTGAAAATAATGTAATCTTGCTTAAAGTAAAAAAATAATAATAATAACTCTTAATAATATTTGGAATTTCGTGTTTATTCTAATCTTTTTTTAGTAACGTTGATGAGATCGTTAAAATCACTTTTAATGTGAAAGATGTCTTAAATCTTATATTATTCTTCTTTAAGAAAATGAATCAAATTCACCGTTTATGTTATTCTATGTTGTTTTTCCATTTTTCACATTAATTCAAAATTAAGCTTTTTAGTGAAAAACTCTTTGAAAATACTCAAACACTTCAAAACAATAAAACATTTTACTTAAACTTTTCATAAGTATACTATTCCAACAAAAATTCTTAAATTTTTTGGTGATTTTTGAAAGACTGTACTTCCGTATTTAAAATAGATAAAAAAAAACATTTTAAAGCTTCAAGTTTCTAGTCTTGAGATATTCTGGCAAAAAAAGTTTTGAGCTACAAATATTACGTGATCCTAAAAAATTGAGCAAGAAAGAAATTGTACATTTTTTTGTTCCTTTTTTTGTAGGTACACGAACTTGGAATTTTTTTTATTAGTTAAATCAATGCATGGGTCGTATAGCTTGTTCATTCAGCTTCAATTTGCTGTTTTCATGTTCTCGTTATGTCAATTTGTCGCTGAGATATTTGATTTTTAATAAAAAAAGATCTTCTTATCTTCTTCTCTTTGATCATCGATATTTCAGTAACGAATGACCGCACAGAAAATGTAAAGATAGTTTCAAAAACTGGAATAAAGCCCCTACAAGATGTTTTTTTCGAATATTCTAACAAATATTGATGGAGAGATTAATGTGTCCAGGTTTTTTACAGCCCCAATGTCTAAATGTTTAAATCGATCCGTCAAACTGTTTTCTCGGACCGAATGATCAAAATAAAAAAAAACTTTTCTACAATTTCGCATGTAAAATTTGAAAAACAAATTCGAAAAAATTAAAAAAAAAATTAATGTTTTTTAAAAATTTGTAAAAAAATCAATGAAATGACGAATTTTTGAGACTATTTTGTTATTGCATACCCTAATGTTACTCATCTCAAATTAATTGCATTAATTAATATCTCTAAGTTGTATTCATTACTCGATTTACAAACATTCATGCAAATTTTGTTAAAAAGTATTTTTTTTTATTGCTTCCAATTTTTCCAATTTTTCAAACTTAACAGTAGTGTATTATTTTTCAAAATTCAACAACTTGGCGCATTTTGCAAATTTGAACATACTATGAATATACTATTTTCTTTACACTTTTTGTTGCATACATACATTAACCGTTTTTGTATTGTTTTAAATATTAAATTCATTAAAATTCAACAAAAATAGAAAAGAAAAAAACGTTTTTTCGCGTAATTGTCCTAAAGTCCTGCGAGTTATACCAACATATGTTTAGAAGATCTAAAAAGAAAATTTTTGTTATTTGTCTTGGTTTAAAGACGATTACTTTATCAAGTTTTCTGTTTATGCACTCATTTCAAATATGAAAAGTCGGCGCCTTTGGTAACACGTCCTTAAAACACACAGGGAAAAAAATGATAAAGTGTGTCCACTTTTATACAAATTGTACAACCCCAGTTTTCGTTTAAATCATATTTTATTGAACAAAACTATAGAAAATCAGCCGTCATTGTCTTCGTAAATCTTGTACGCCCCAAAGGGTTTATTATTATGATAATTATTGGCAGCGACGTATCCATACAAGCCTCCCCCTTTGCCAAAAACCGGTTGATATTTGCCATAATGCGACAAAAGCAGCGCCAGATAGGGATTCAGCGGCAAATGTTCGAGATGATTATATCCCGGAATTTTCGGGTGCAGATGCAACGTCGAGCTGAGGAAAAGCGCAGCCAAAAGCGGATTCGCTTCCACCACTGTGTGAAAATTCGGTTGCTGCACGGCTGGCACGCCACAGAAACGTGGAGGGTTTACGTAACCTTAAACACAAATGACTGAATTTGTCAGCCGGTTTCCGTCATATTTACCGCTAGTGTAGCAATTGGGGTGAGGGTTGGGGGTGAAATAAGACAACGATGGACCGGTTTGTTCACCTGATGAGACGGCCGAAAACACGATCAAACACCACAGCTCCAGCTAAACAATAAAATTAAATCGGGAAAATATGAAAAGTTGGACTCACTTGATAAATCATTATTTTTCTTGCGCACTACATTGCTGCTCAACTCTAATGAATTTTTTAATGCTGGTGCAGCTTTATAAGAAAGCCCTTCCAACACGAAGACTTTGTTAAATTTGCATTAAATTGCTCTTGTTTTTTTTATATAATCAGAAGTTATCGCGAGGTTTAAGTGGAAAACGGTGTTACTCTTTAGTTTGTGAAATTTGTTCCTATTGTGTTATTGGTGTAGAGAGAAAGGAAAATGAGATTGTTGTTGACTTGTTGAATGATTTACTCAATCTCTTTTTATTACTTAGGTACCCTTGAGAGTGATGATTTTTCTCGTACTTTAATAACGCGAATTGCGTTTCTGTTAAATTGTACATAAATATAAAACGTAGGACCACAGTAACGAATTTAGAAAAATACAAATTTAATAAAAATAAAACGTAATACCGTTTAAAAAAAACTAAAAAGATTATAAAAAGATTTAAGAAAAGCGTAATACGTACCTACCTATAACGTAATAATATGTCGAGTCTCCAACTCGATATTAGAGGGTCTCCCTTGTTTAAAAAAAAGACTGGTGAAAAATCATTTTTAGACTCAAAAAACGTTTAAATAATCACTCGCCGAGCACTAGGCAGCAGCTTAAAATGCTCTACTATTTGCAGTTTTTAATTTTGATTTTTAATTTTTCTTAGTTGTAACCGAAAAAAAAATTTCTAATCTTATGTAAAATTAACCTTAAACAATACAAAATTCCACAGCAACAACCCTCCACAATTTGAAGGTGATTGATTCAAAATTGAATCAAAACAAACTGAAAGCTTTGTAACATTGTTAATTAACACCGAAATACATTAAAATACGTTTATTAATTTGTTTAATTTCAAAATATGAATAAAGCATTTTACCCAAAGGCGCAACAACAATGACTGACGCAAATTTTTGAAAATCTAGTAAATTAATGTTTTTGAAGGTTTGAACTAAAAGTTGGTCCAGAAAGCACATATTTATTAAAAGAGATAAAATTAAGAAACAGTATATTACATCACAAGATAGATTCACAAGAAGAGATTCTTTATGGAGGGAAATAATAAATACGAGGCTATAAAAATCTTCTCTACTATGTTTTATATGATATTTTTTTACTAATCACTACTAGCACATTTATTACCTAGAAATACAAGGGTGCCTTACTTAGGCATAATGCCTCCGATGTAACTTTTTGTAATCCACAACTATTATTTTTGTTATATTATTATAACCTACAGTAGTTAATTACTTACCTGACTTATTATTTTATTTTTATCACAAATGAGTAAGTAATTTTTTACTTCTGCATCTATTAGGAATTTTCTAACTTCGTAATATGAAATATTTGTTAATATAAAACATAGAAACTGCAAACAAAAGGGAGAAAGTGTTAAAATTTGTCCTACTTTCGGTAGTATTTTAAAATGAAATAAGCCCTTTTGTTGTGTTAACAGTTTTGACAAAGACAGAAGAATTAGAGGTGGGATTATGTATTTTAATGAAGAAGTTTTATTTTTTTTATTTGATTATGTATTAATTTCATCTCGAAATACTTCCGTCAGTACTTAAATAAAACTATTCTAGATACGAGTATATTTGTATTTTGTATCAATGTAATACTCTCCAGTATTGACCTATCTCTAATCCATTATTGATTGGCCTTGGTCAGTAATGAAAATGATTATTGATGATTTTGAGAGAAAAACAACTTTGCAGCCTCTTGTTAAAGTAAATAATAGTATCTTGTACAACAAGTGAAAAAAGGTATTGAACTAATCGCTTCTTCAACGACTGTTTATTAGAAATGGTTTATTTATTACTTGACATTTTGTTTTTCACTAAATTATAGCCATCCTTGATAATTTTCATACTATCAAAGTTAAGAAATACCAGCTTGACAATAACAAAAACTATTTCAATTTTTTTACGATTTTTTAATAATAATAATTTATACATATTTCAGATAATTCAAATGCAGTATCTAGAATTTAGCCTCATCTGTAGACAGTCACTGAGACTAACAGCGGTAAAATCAAGTCACCTCTTTTGTACGTTACAACGATTGGCTTTTGTCTCCTAGATGGCAGCACCCATCATTATTCGTAAAAACAGTGATCTCCAAACTCTACAATCGCCTCTCGAAGATGTTCTCCTGATAAAAAGTCGAATATCTAGGGTCGGCCTTAAACCGTCAGCTTTAACTTCTCTCGGAATTTGCTTGCTCTCTTCAACAACGTCAAAAGTTTTTAGTAGTAAATTTACAAATATGTTTTTTTTTCTTATTTAAACTTAAAGAAAAACTTAAAATAATTATTTTTGTTTACTTTGATTTCTATTAAGATAGTTGTTGTGAAAAGTCGTAATTATTGAGGAATTATTAGTACCAATAAGTAGAAGAAATGTAACAACAATTTTTTGTCAGTGTAGAAAGTAATAATAATTGTAATTACGTTAATTAATAAAGAAAAATAATGACTAGTTAGGAAGCACCAAAATTGGGTTACACATCTGTGGATCAAATCCCAAAAAAATTACACTTATCATATTTTATTAATTTTTCAAGTCCAAATAGTTACCAAAAGTTAGATTCTTCGATTAGAAAATTAAATACACGACTGAATAATTTTCATGTCTAAATTTATATTCCTGTCTACAAAATTCCTCAGTTCAGTTTTAAAATAATCACATGTCCAAGTACATTCTCTATACATGTGCTATTAATCGCCCATTGAGGACTAGAGAAATTGTAGAATTTACTTGGGAAAGAATAGATAAAGTGTGCTCCTAAAATGGAAATTGTGTGTTTCTAGGAAAGTAGAAATTTTTCGGAAAATTTTTGTCGAAATTATTTGACCTCAACTATTGATTGGATTAAAATTATAGATGTATGGGAAAAAGTTAAATCGTGATAGTCGACACTGAAAAACTTGTTTTTTTGTAAATACCAAACTGATAGTTACAACTACAACTGTTATATAATTAATAGAAGAAAAATGGTAAAGAATCACCGTATGTCAAGTGTATAATGACAAACCAGTTTTGAATGAGGAATACAGCTGTATTAACTATTGTGCCAAGATCATCTGCTACTGCGAATGTTGTAACTGTTTTTGGAAAAAATGTTAAGTGCTACTGGAAATTTGACAAAAGATACTATCTTATTAATTGTTTTAACACGTCGGGAAAGAAAGTACTTTGTTTCAGCTACTATTTAATAACCAATTAACTTAAGAAGCTGAAATGCGTAGCTAGTAGAAAGCAAATGATGTATCTCCGCAGGAAAAATCCAGAACAACACGCAAATTCACATTTCTTGCAAGGAAACGCGTCATTAGACGAATATACTTTACCTCATTAATGCAAAAACCAGATCTTTTTCAACCACTCAATGGTTTTTGTGGGCGTCAAGAAATTTAATTAAGCAATTTCAGGTCGCTGTAGGCTGGTAAACGATAGTAGCTGGGAAAAAAAAAATAAAAATTTAATAACAAGGAGTGATTGTATTTTTTTTGTACTACTGACATTTAAAGTTTCTTAAATCGCATTTCCACAACAATTATTTTTTTGAAATCACATCTGTTGTGTGTAGAAAAATAGCAATGTAGGTTACAGATGTTGGTGATTATTTTTGTCCAAAATGGGGCTCAAAAAGTGTCATTGCTCTTGCACTTGCATGCAAACATTGCTTTCAAAAATTCAAAAAAGTTCACTACTCTGCGCGTTCGATCGAGAACTTCCACGAAGTTTTCATTTTATCTATCGTTTTATTCCAATTTCTTGCACCACTTACACTTGTTAAAGATTCAATTTGTTGCTGAAATATTTTAATTGTCTCAAATACAGTTATGCAATTCTAGTGAAATCTATTAATTATGTGCTTTCATGTTCTTTATTAGCATATCAAAAATTTGAATATTTAACTGTTACCGGTTATAATAATCTAATTGTGATTTATTTGCCTTTAAGCTTGTTTCTGTGCAAGGAATTATGCTAAACTTAGATTTATTGTGCTAAATTTTAATATCAAATTATTTCAACTATGTATGATAGAGTTCGTGAACGCTTTCGTATTTTGTTGAAAAATATTAACTCGATTATTCTTTTGACATTTAACAGACTGTGATGTGAAAGTTTGGCATTGACAATGAAGATCTTTAAATCTGATGTTTATTATGTTTAATCCGTGATTCTTATGCGAGAATTTAATTTTACTTTCGCTCAGATCCGATGCTATATTAAACCGAAATTGAATAATTTTTTGTGGCTTTAGAAAGGACGATTATTGGATATTGAACCAAAATTACCGAATTGCGTTTTGTTACGAGTGCACGAGTGATGAACCAGTTAATCCTAATTTTATAGTAAATTACTAGATAGGGTTACTTTCTAATGATTTTAAAAAAATTATACGAAAAGTAAATTATACTCCAAGATATATAATATTAGCTCTTTTTGTTTTTGTTTCTGTATTACAGGTAAGTTACGTTTGCTCTAAATATCTGAGAACTGTGTTGTTACTTCCTCACAAAGATTTAGCTTTGTTCCTCTCACTTTGCCATTGCAATATTATTGTGATTTCAAGTTTTTTTTAATTATTTACATAAACGATTGTGAATAAATAGGTAATTGTCCTCCCAACAGGACTTTTGACTAATAGTCTGGTACTTTATTCCCTCGGGGATAAAATACATCAAATAATGATTTTTACTCTTTAAATAAACTGGAATTGAATGAATTGAATCTTTTGAGTGTTTATTGACGCAAACAAATTTCTTGATACTGATTTTTACTCTTTAAAATTCAATTGAATCAAATAAATATTTTGACGAATTATCTGAGATTGACAAATTTATCATTTTTTATGAGATAAGGTTTGCATGCATCTCTGGGATAAACATCGTAAGACCCTCGAATGAAAATGTCTTCGGCTTTTTTCGGTCGACTATGGCATTACCTACATTCTGCATTTCTTTGACATTTATCAAGATATACATTCTTTAATTTGTATTTCTTTCATACAATAAATAATTCAGCAAACAATTAAATAATAATAACAATAAATATAAAAATAATTCAGTATACTATGTCCCTCAAAAAATTTAAGCCAATCAAATCTTTCAAGTTTCTGAGATTCATCCAATCAGATTCAAATTACGCGATAATTCAGCACGTGTGCATATTCCTCTTGATACTTACTTTGTCCGGGTGCTAAATTACCGCCAATCTGATTGGATGAATCTCAGAAATTTAAAAAATTTGATTGACATTCCTATATTTTTTTGACATAAATTATTTTTTTGCACTTCCGGGACTAAAGTTGATACTTAGGTCCTTGTTTACAGGGATTAAAGTGAGTCATTTATTCCCTAGGGAATAATGCACTTCCGGGACTAAAGTTGATATTTTAGTGATTAAATACAAATTTGTCACATTGACACGAACAAATTTGGAATTATTTTACAAGAAAAATAAATGCTTTCGAAGTGCAAAAAATAGCGTATATACCTCGGGATTAAAGTGCCTAAATCACTTGCTCCACTCGCGGGATTAAATGGTGCACTTTAGTCCCTCTATATACAGGTGCACCAGAATTCGCGCTCCAGAAAAAAATTTCAAGTAAGGTAAGATACCAGAAATATGGAAAAATGTTTAAAAAATTCTATCTGTCAAAAAATTTTGACATTTATTTTTGACATTTAACATTTTTTTATCTTTATTTAATGATACTGATGATCTTGTATATGTTTTTTACAATTATTTAGTAAAGGTACAAAAATTTCGCTAATAAAAACCACAAATAACATTGAATAGAGTTACAATTTAGGATACAGCTTCCTTGTTTCCTCTTTTAATAGCCTATAGCAAAAAAACTTGGAAAATTATTTTTCCAACAGAAATAAATAGAGTCAAAGTGCAAACTTTAAACCCTCATAACTTCGAAATTTTTCTAGATAAATTTTTTTTAACATTTTTTCCATGTTCCTGGTATCTTATTTTATATGGCATTTTCCTCTGGGGCGCGAGTTCTGGCGCACTCTGTATATATTATACTATTTCCTAGTCTCATAAATAATAATTCGCAATAAATTATTTTTCATATTTTAGATAAAGTTGATAATAAAATTTGCCTGTTTAAAATTTCATAAACAGAATTTCTTAACAGATAGCATTTCTTTCAAAATAATAACGTTTTTCTATCCTTTTGTTGAATAGAAATATTATTATACATAATAGCTATGTATTGTATAGGTACTACAATTGTGCATAAAGAGTAAAAACATAATTTTGATTTCTTATTTTTTTTAAATTTCTTTTCTATTTATTTTGGTTTTCTTAAAAATATCATATAATAAATGATAAAATAAAGTTTTTTGCCCTTTTTGGATTTCGACTATTAAATTAAAAAAATGTAATCCGTTAGTTATTCGAGTCGATTTAAAAATCACTCTAGTCCCCCAAATATTCAAACCATTTGGCACAATTCATACTCGAGTACCCAAACATTCCTACAATTCGCACAATTCCTCATTAGTCACGCTCCAGCCCAAAGGGTGGTAACGTTGACGCAATTTACATTGATGTAACCCAATTATGAAATCCATATTCATTCATTGCACACCAACTTTTACTATATTCACTCTCAAACCCCTTCATTACAGAAAAAAAACATTTCGCATCTGCGTGAAAAAATCCCCGGACTTCGGAATGTCTTGTAGCCACTCTTTCTAACTCTCACCGAACGCATCACCTTGCAGATAGATCTAGACAGCGAACGCATTCACTTGTTTCTTGAATACCACGTGTTTCAGGTGTTTTGCCGGTTTATGGCATCGTAGTAGTTGGTGCATTGAACTATACCGTGCGTCCAGCGCGCAACGGAAGAGCATTTTTCTAATTTTATTTCAAATTTGATTTTGTGCAGTGTGTATTGTGTGATTCCCTGGAAAAGAGGACGTTTTTAAGGTAACCAGTTTTGGAAAAATTAATTAACGTGAACTTTGCAAATTTAAATACAAAGAAGTAATTAATCAAAAGTTTTTTCTTTACAAAGAAATTATTTTCCCAAGATTATGGGTCGCACTTGAAAGGCAAATTTTGCGAATTATTTTTAACGGCCTACATTTTTCTATTTAATGAAAAGTCAGATACACGACTGCTGGTCTTGCGGTGCTCAAAATTTTGTCTTTTAGTTCCAATATACAAAAAAAATCATTCAGGGTTTCAGAGAAACGGATATTGAATTAATTAAAGCGTGGAGACTGACCCTGATTATTATTAAAAAATAAAATAAAATAATGTTTCAGTCTACAATTAATCGAACAATTGCTTTAGTTCTGCTGTCTGCTACTGTTATGATTTTTTTCGGCGAATTTTTACAGGAAAGTAAGGCAAACAACGGTAATAATTAAAATTTGTGATGTTGGTTGAATTTAAAATAATTGTGAAATTTAACCTTCCTCTTTCTTGCTATTGTTTAAAGCCGTGTTTAGTTAGCATACTGATACATAATGAGATTAGAGGTCGGTATATAATTATTTTTCAGGAATATGTAAAAAGTAACTGTTTATAATTTTTATTGTCTGGGCCAAAAATCAACAAATTTTGACCCTCGTAAAAGACTCTTCTTCAAAATGTAATTTTTATTTTTACTTCAGTATAGTCAATAAAAGATCTAAATCAAGTGTCAAAAATAATAAATTATGATTATTTTAGCAAGATAACTCCGGTATTTGTTTAAAAAGCCTAATAAGTCTTAGGCAAGCAACAGGAAATTATTTTTCTACTGCCATATTTCACTGAACTCAATTAAGAAATGTCTAGTTATTTAAAAAATGTGTTAATTAATTAGACTTAATTAAAAATTATCTCCTGACTACAAATTACTTACATAAGAGGTCTGATTTTAAAATGAGACTCAAAAACGATATAAGTAATGTATAAAAATAAAATTACAAAAAATGATTATTGAAAAAACTCACAAAAAGACTATAGACCAGTTAAAAAATTGACTTAAATAAAAAAATATCTTATGTCACTTTTTTGCCAAGTGATTTTTCAGCGACTGTTCCAAAATGAACTCCCCAAACGTGTTATATTCACCCATATATTCACTAACTCCAGTGGTGACGTGAAGCAATTTATTTCTTCGTTCATCACAACCTAAATTATCCGGATGTATAATCCTTATTGGCGGATCCAAAGCTCTAGGAGTGTAAGACAGAGGATCTTTATAACTTGCATTCTGTGTTGTGAGTGGTATTTCCGAATCATCCGGCAATCTAAACTCACAAGCTTTGCTTTTCGCATAAAACAAACTTTCTTTTTCTCTATCACAAAATTCCGCTTGATATTCCGATGATTTTTCGTTGAGGATTTCTTGGTCGAGTATCAGTTTAGTGTCTAGAGGTTTTGAAAGTAATTCTTTTAGATGTTGGTGTTTCTGTTTGAACTTATTGAAGTAGATTTCTCCGTCTTCGTCCGGTGGGGTCACTTTGGGTTTTTGAAGGTATAAGTAGTGTTTTTGGCCTGCCGCAATTGGATCTGCAAATTCTTGTTTCATACGGTGTTGGATTGATGGTTTGAACGGCTTTTTCACATAGTGTTTGCGGTAAGTTGTAAGGAATGTGTAGTCGCTTACTTTAAAATCCATTGACATTGACAAAATGCACTGTCATTGTCAGGATAACTGGCAGTGTCAATGTTAAAGCTACAGTCTAGATGAAGCTCAAAAAATGGGTGATTGTTGTAACTTTAGGTTTTTTTTCTAAAAAATAAACATATAAAATGTTGTAAAGGTTTTGAGCTCTAGACTATTGACCAGTCTTTTTTAATACAAAATCTGTAAAATTTTTCTTTGAAAGGAAAGAATGTTTTCTGTTTTTTTTATGTAAGTAATTTTTCTTATTTTTAATCTTAGTAGAATTAATTTTTTATATTTTATTTATTTATTTGTATTTTTATTTTTCTCTTTATTGATTTTGTTACTTTTGTTAAGGGGGTTAAGTTCAAATAGCATTTGCTGGACTTCGTCTCCCGAGTTGTATTTACAGTTCAAAAATAAAGACGCTTTATTATTATTATTCTTTATTTCACTGTTTTTTGAATTAATTGATAAAAAATATTACAGATCTCTATTCTTTTTTTAAATGTTTTCTTGTGGTAAAACTAAAAATTTGTCTGAAATATTATTGGACGTTTTTAGCATAATATACAGCGTGAATATAAAGTATGGAACCAAGCGTTTTTTTTTAAATCACTTGCCTCCAGAAAATGATAATTTATACTCGTATAAATGAATGTAATATATAAAAACTGTGATCGTATTTTGAGAACAAAATTTTGTTTTGTTTTTGAGTTATGCGATGTTTTTGTCAAAATTGCAATTTATGTAAATTTTTTTGAAAAAATTAAATAAGTAGATAGTTGTAATCTTTAGAACATAACCTTCATAAGAAAAATGGTTTTATAGTAAGTTGCCAATTAAAAAAATAATTTTTTTTGTAAAACTCGAAAACAAAAGAAAACTTCTAAAAATCTTATTCTTGATAAAACATCACATTTTTATAGGATTTTATTATTCAACAATTAACTTTTACAAAAAATAAATAGTTTTTTTGTCATTAGTACTTGATAAATCTACTGGCTTTGGTCTGTACCAGAATGCTAAAAAATAAAAGTAAATTGTAAAAATCTTAAATGTTTTTTTTACCATCCTATAATCTTATCAAGTGTCAGCAATTGTGTTCTTGTCAGAATTTTCTTGTTTTGTTGGAAGCTAGAAATTTTTTTTAAAAGTTTTTATGATTTTTACTGCCTTTTGCAACTCTGCACATATTTGATAAAGTTTTTTAATTTTCTTAACTGTTTTTTGCACCACGTTTATTTGAATTATTTTAGTATTTATTTAAGATTTCAGAATTTTTTACCTTTGTTGCAAGTTTTTTTTATTAATAAATAAACTGCGTGAAGAAATTATTAGTTCCACCGGTTCATATGTATAACAAATTTTTAAACCTTTATGCAAATATGTACCAACATTTAATGTATGTTTAATGCTCGTATAATAATTTAAACACACCGTTTCCACATTATAATACTTATTATAATCTAATATTTCAGTATGGTTGTAAATTTGTAACAGTTGTTGGCAGTAGGTGGAGGCCTTAAGGGCAGAAATTCTGCACGAGGTGTTATAATTATAGTCAAGAATTTTTAAAAAAGTTTGCTTCTGGAGGTGTGTTATTAGAAGTGGAAGATTAATTGGTTTAAAACTGACAGGAATGCAAATCAGACTACTTTTTTTAAATTGTATTGAAATATTTATAGCCATATTTTGATGTATGTAAAATAATTGCATACTGATTGTTTTTAATTAGCCACAAAAAGTGAGGCCTTTACTTCAGTATTCAGTGCTCGGTTTACGTAAGAATAAATAAGACACTGAAATATAATTTAAATACGGTTTATAAAAATGAATAATTAAAATTTATAATTGTTGACATAATGCAAATGTCTACCTTAAGTGAAAGGTTTAAAGAATTTGTCGTATTTTACAAATTCTTTCTAGTTTTCAACTTTTACTTTAGAACAATTACAAATAATTGCCGGCAGTCAGTTCCTCCATTTTCCATAGACACTATAATACTTTTTCATCATCATACCTGAATTAAAATTTCAGTGTAATGCACACAAAGCATTATTTAATTGTAGCGTGACTCACTTTCATTTCTTATTTAACAATAATTAATACATAAATTTTCCCTTCTTCCACTTTGATGAACAAAGAAAACGTCTTTTGAATAAAATCAACTTTCGTTATACTCGCGTCAAAACCCAATCGGGATGAATATGCATTTCATTGCACACCTAGCTCGGACAATGCGCTTTTGTTCCGGTGTAAAAATGGTTTTTTGCAAAAATTCAACCCACGCCGACTATTTGAGAATTACAAATAGCCACGCCAAGTATTATTTTAATTTTGATTAATTATGAAATGTGGAATGGCTAGGTATTGAACTATTATGTAATAATTTTAAGTACAGTTGAATGAATGCTCCAGGTCAGTACGATAGAATGTTCCGGGTAATTTTTCTTTGGGGTAAATTGCTACAACTACTAGAGTACTAGACATTTCGCAAGTCATTTCATGTGTTTTAAAAATATTCTAATCGAGTGGCTTGTTCCGACTCAATTGTTTCTAGAATGAATGGTTGGCAAAACTGCTGGAAGATATACAGGGTAAATTATGTGTGAGTTCCCTCAAATTTTCTTGCACTGAAATTATTTTTTTTCTAAAGAACCAACTAGAAGTAACATTTTTGAGGTGCCTTTTAATAAAACATCATTTATTCTGTAGGTATAGAATAAGTTGTTATTAACATTTGTTTTGTTTAATTTAATTTATTTTTGAACCATTGACAAAACTATTGAAAGATATTAGAGTAATAGAAATCTTATTACCCTCAACATTTCAAGCACTGAAATTAACTATTATTTTAAATTATTTTGGTTTATTGTAAATTACAATTTTTTCTAGACACATAAAATAAAAATTATCCAGAAGAAGCATTTTTGAGGTGGCAATAAAACCTGAATAAAAAAATTATTATTGATAATTTATTTGATTTTTTTTGTTAAATTGATTAATTAAGTAGTACCTATAGTTTTTTTGGAACGCACAGTATAAAACCTTTGAACAGTTTTTTATTTAGTCCAGCAGTGGCAGATCTAGGGGGGCAGGAGGGCGAAGTAAAAATTATCAATTTTTTACGCTTATGTATGTTTAGAACTATTTATATGATCAAAAATTAATTTTTTAGTGTTAGTTTTTTGCCCCCCCCCCTCTCTCTTTACATATTTTTTCTTGGTACGCCACTGCATCTTAAAATCAATAAAGAATAAAAACCAACAACGGTAATGTAATAACAATTCTGAAGTAAACTAATCAAATGAGAATGTAGAAAATAATTTTATAAAAAAAATACAAAAATAACAAAAGAAAAGGAAAGTGTATCTTTTCGGTGGATGTTATTTTTACTAGATGAGGAAAGAAAATTTTTACCTCCTTGGAAAGTAATTAGCTACTTTCCTTTCTAAAATTAGGGTAGAATAACTTACTTCCTTACTTACTACCCTAACAGTAGAAAAAAAGTTAAGTTAAGTTTATATTTAAATATTTATTAGAAATATTAGAATACAAATATTTTGACGCTAAAACCACCTAAATTTAGGTGAAGACCAGTATGGAATTATAAAATAGTCTAAATCAGTTCGAAAATTTTCTTAAAACATCAAGGATTTTTTTGACTATTTTATTTTTAATTTCACACTTTCTATGTCCTCGAAAATAAATCGATTAATGCAAATTTGGGTAATAAATCAGTTTTCACACCCAAATTTATAAATTAAACTCCGTTGTATTATGACACTTCATAAACAAACAAGTTATTAGAAAAAATTCTTATCGGAAACAAATTACCTCTCAAGTAGCACACATGTCATTTTTCCCCAAAAAATATCTGACTTTTCGTTTTCTCTGTCCAGTAAAGCTCGTAACACTTTTACAATTGTAGGATGTTTAAAAACGTGAAAAAAATACCGCCTCGAGCAACCGCAAGGTCAATATCGTTGCATGTCTAGAGAAAACATGTTGAAACTCAGGAAAAATAGTTTTTTTGCTTTCTACACATTTAGACTCCAGAATTGACAGCATTTTGCATTTTTCCAGATTTTTGACGAAAATCCGGTTCAAATGAAGCGGCGAAAATGATGTTACGAAGCATCACACTCCTGGTGATTGCTGTTTTGCATTCAGTCAAAGGTAAGTCAGAATCTAGATTACTGTAAAGGTCAAAGGTCAGCAATTGAAACAACAGTGGCCCTAACAGTGGATCTTGCAAGCCGCAAATTGCGCCAACTTGATTAATCATCCATATTTTTTTAAATTGTAACAGTTTTTTCTCATAACCTTAACCTTTCTATTTCGGTTCTTATCTCACGATCAATATCCGAATTTCTCGACCCAAACTTTCTATACAGTTAAGTGCCTTATGACCAATAAATCGCGATTTATCAATTACATTCCTCATCACTGACCGCTCTTCGGAGGTCAAGCCCACAAAAAATAACATTTGGTAGCTTGTAGGAAAAATCGAGGATAAATTATGATGAAGTAGGAACGGCAATTTATGCTTTCACGCGATTAATTATTATTATTTGATCGTTTTTATGGTTTCTATACGTTGCAATTATGTATGCACATAATTGAAGGTTTTTTTTGTCCAGGAACGAGTCGTTGGAGAAAAATTTTGAAACGTTCACTTCTCGAGACAAACCAAGTACGTTCATTAACCCAGTAAGGAAACTCATTCCGGTGATTAATCGTAAGGATAAGAAGGGACCGGAGACGGAGCTCTGTGGCTCACACAATTAGAATACCAAATCGATGTATCGTTTTTGCAAAACAATTCTGGGGAAGAAATCGCGTCGTAAATAATAACAGCGAATTTATAAGTTTTCCAAGTAACAATAACAGGAAATAGGAGAAAAGTGTCGACGTTTAGAAACAATACTGTCGTGAGAGTTGATGCTTGCTTGATCTAACAACATGAATTAAGTCAAAAAGTGCGAAAAATGTTCTCGTGGTGTTGAAGTGGTAATTTCAATCGTGATTATATTGTTTGAAATTTGCACCTACGAGTCGAAAATTGGTATCGGCTTGTTTGAAAGAGACATTATTATAATGTTGGTTACTGTGGTACCGACAAGTCATACTAATTTATTACTAATCTCAAGAATGCTGTAATCGAGTAACTGTTCAAGATTCTGCTATTCTAGCTGAAGACTGGTTATGAGCATTTTGCCACAAAAAATTAGCTTTAATTCGTGACAAAAAGTTTCGGAAGAAACATAACATTTGAGTTTATGGTGGATTAATTAATCGAAGCTTATATTGCTAATTAATTTTTTAAATGCAAATTTCAGTAAAGTGAAAATCAAGCTTTGGAAAGTCGTTGCTTCATTTTTCAAGAAAATCGATTAAACTTACCGGAACTTTAATTTTAATTCACGATGAGTAATTTTCCGGAAATTAGTTGTTATTCAAACTTTCCAGAATACATTTTGTCTTTATAGTTATTCGTTGATAATATGAGGTAACAAAATTGTATTTTGTATTTTTTTTAAATATTATTACTGTACTTCTGTAATTTAAAAAAAAACGATGGATGTGACTTCATTAAAATGTTTTTTAGTAACAAAATTGTTGTGATACAATAAAAATTACACTTTGATTTACGTGATTTACGAGAAATAATGAGCCTAACCAAATTCTCGATGCAACCAACATTACATTTGTCGCAAAGCAACTTGCGAAAAGTAATGGTGGTTGCATCGAGATGTTGGTTAAGCTCATTATTCATTATTCATTATTCCTCGTGAATCACCTTGTATTATTGAACTAGATAACTTTTACTCAGACGTAAAAAATATAAAATATGTAAAATTCTGTTAACGACACACTTAATTTGAGAACCTGTTCAAAAAATTGACATGACTTTTCTTGCAGTTACAAGTTTTTATTTTTTAAATTAAATTTGTTTACTATTTTCAATTAATTTTATTTAATCCTCTATGTTAAAATTGAATTTTATCTACTCTTTTCTTTATGTTAAAATGAAATTTTATCGTCTAGATGATAAAAAATACATCCGTTGTTCTATATTTGCGGTTGTTAGTTGCTAACGATCTTTGACATTAGATTTCATTGTTGAATTTTACTTTGACATTTATAAATATTGACCAAATTGACTACAAAATTAGTAAGGCTTGAATAAAATTTTATATTGTACACGACGATAAAATTTCCATTATCTTTTTGAGCATATAATTGCTTTCAAAGATAAAATTCAATTTTATCGTCTTGTATAATAAATAACTATTTGTAACTTAGCATCACCACTTAAAATATTCTCCTAAAACAATTATTACCAACTATTAAATTTTAACCTTGATTTTAATATTTTTTGTTCAGTTACAAAATTTCAATAAATATAAGTAGTTTTTCAAATCTGGGCTAAAGACTGCGTTTATTTTTCCCATTTCAATTAAGTTATCTGCAAAACATGCAAAAACCAAATCTTTGTTAATAATTTCCTGCTGTTCGAACTTGTCATTATTCTTATTAGCCGTCCACGCTCCGTTGCAAATGATGAAAAACAAACTTGAATTAAAATTATCCTCATTTTCACCTGCAAACATCATCTGAATTATATCGTTTATGTATTAAGGTCAAATCCGACAAATCGCCAATGTTAAAACAATCGATCAGACGAAAGTATGCTAATTTATCCGGTCGAAAAAATCACCATCTGAATTAAATGGACCAGAACATCGAATTAGAACAGTTTCGTTTTCAGTGTTTTCACAATTCGAAGATTCTATCGTTAAAAATGTTCAAGCTTTCGCTATGAAATAACAGAGCAGTGCACAATGTTGAGTAAAATTAATTTTGCAATAATTAGTATTTATATCGAGTATTGGAGGAAAATGTAGCGAAAGTTAAATTGCTGCCGTTGCCGGATGCATTTTGCGTTAAGGTTGTTATTAAGGTTTCCTGTTATGACTTTACGTAAAGTTAAAAAAACTAAGACCATAATGTATTGAGGTTATTAAGGCTTGTCACATCAATTAGAAGCAAACGGTTTGCCCTTTTTCACAAAATTTAAATATGAATTGAAATATTTACACTGACTAAAATTTTTCCAATTTCTTGCAGGAAGTAATTCAAATTTATAATTTCTATTCAGTGGTGTTTAAGGTGCATTTAATTAAATGGTGGTTACGCCAAACCGCAACAATGTTAGAGAGCAAACACTGTGGATATTGTACAAAACAATTCTTACTTATCCACGACCGTGGAAGAAATCACATTTATCCTATTCTTTTCTAGACGTAATAATATATATTGTTGCATGCGTGGTGTAATAAGATCTTTATCACACGCGTAAAAGACATAAAAAACAATAAAGATTAACATACACAACAAAAAACATTCAGTTTATAAAAAATAGTCATTTTTTTGCATTAACTATTACACTATCTCTTTATTGTTTATTTGGTGTTTTTTTATTGTAAAATTTTTGTTTCTTTAGTTTTTAGGGAAACGAAGATTGATTATTAAAAACGTAAATTTTAACTGAAACACCAGTAGTTACAACAAGGAATTTGAAATGTTGAAATTAGATACTAGCATTCTCATTTATCATTGCAATAAAACGCCGTTGAAACCGAATGTCACCATCCATTTTCTCCATATTATTGCTTTACAGCTACCGATTTGATTTTTCTTTCATTAAATGTAGGCTAATGAGCGTATTCTTTCCAATTGATATATAAATTAGATTGTAATCTGATTTATCATTATCCATTTCAATGAAACACTAGCTCATTTAAATAATTTTATTCTTAACTTAATTACACTCATGTCTTTCGAACACTTATTTATAACAGCTATAAATTTAAATTTTTTGCAAAAACTTGCAACAATTGTTCATTGAGAGAGTTAAAATGTAAAATTACCGTCATAGCCGACGGCAAGGCAAGAAAAATAATCTAACGGTCGTTGTATTTATATAACTAACATGTATTTACATGTTATTATGATTCTGGAAGGAAACAATAATTTCATTACTCAAAAAATAACTGGCATTAGTTCCGGAATTTGAAGCAATTGAAAGGTAATTGCAATTGAAAGTAAATAAATATTGATCTGGTTGATATATCTCAGATCGACTTTTACTCTCATCTGTTTTGATATAGATATTAAAGCAGGAAATTATGATCGAAAAATCGGCAGAGTTGTGTCACAATTTCTTAACTTAATTGCCAAAGGAAGTTTATTGTTTTGGGTAAATGTGATAGAGAATGTGGTCTATTTGTTGCGTAAAATGCAAATTTTTTCAATTTTTGGCGGAAAGGATGTAGCACAAATTTTGTAAAGTCAAATGTTAGGAATTAGAATTTCCTTTAGTTTAACAGCATGTACTACTTGCTTAATAATGTATTAAATTAATTATTGTGGTTCAGAGAGTTTGTTTAACGTTCATTAGATCAAAATTTTGTAATAAATTAGACGTAAATATTGTAATTTTTTATTACGTGTAAATGCAGTTTTCATAGCAAATAAAAATATAATAACAAATTATGTAACCATTATTTCTAAACTAAATAGTAGATTTCCATTTTCTTGAATGTTAATATATAGCATATTTAGAATTTATTTTTTCTCAACTACTTTTACTTTTTATTATTTAGTGGAATTTATTCACTTCATTCTCTTAGGGGTATTATTTTTGTTGTTTTTCCAAATGTGAACTATTAATTAAGGTTGTAGCGTTATTACAATAACTTTTTAGTAGAATTAAAAAAAGAAATACAAAAAAATAAAAATTGCGGAGAATTGTTTAGTCAATTTATTAGAACGCTTCTTAAGATTTTTCGGACACTACACTTATTTTAAAAATATTTTTAATTTTTTTAATATTCTTTTTTAATTTCTCTAGAATTCGACTAACATTTAAGCTTAAATATTAATTTTAGTTATTATAGAGTAAACTTCAAACTCAAAATATTGTACTAATACCGGAATATCAAATTTTTTGAACCAAAAAGTTTGACTTTCAAACTCAAAACTTTACATTGAAATTTTTAACATTAGGTTTTAAAATTTTGGGATGAAACCTGAAATTCAATAACTGTTAATCAAATATACCAACAATTTTTTGATTGGATCCATATTTTCAAATTAAATAAATCAAAAATTTGACATCAAATCTGGAATTTTGTATTGAACTCGTTCTATCAACTTAAATAGATAAATTATATTAATAGTAAAAAACAAATACAAAATTAAATAAAGATAAATACATTTAATAGGCACAAACAGCGTGAGCAAATAGTATGGAACCATACCTAAACTATTTTTTTTACTTACAACCCCGATTTTTTTGATTGAAAATTTTTTAATTGTGAAGTTCTTGATAAAAATTTTTAAAGGTAAAATTCTGACTTAATTGTAATACAAAAATTTTAATATTAGGTACAGCATTTAAAAAATTGAAAACCATCGTTGTTTTATTTGAATTCTGAACTTAATTCAGTTTACCACTTTTTGACAGAATTCGAATTTTTACATTGAAGTCTATCGTGACTTTTAAACACAGAATTCAATTATTTATCAAACTTTCAGTGAATATTCAACCTAATCTGGAATTCAGGCATTAAATGGAATGCTGATTCGGTGTTTAAAATTTGATATTTGAAATCGATTCTAATATTTCAAGAAATGGCAAAAAGTATAAGATTTTAATATTTCTTCTTTAAACTTCAATCCTACTTTAGCCCACACAAAACTTGTAAGTAAAAAAAAATGTAAATAGCAGTTGTAATAATAATATTATCCTACACTGAGTACATATAAAATTAAAAAAAATGCAAACGTTAATCTTATAAATACAACTGTTTAATGAATATTTGTCAAAATTAAAATTCAGTAATGGTACTCCAACATCAATAAATTTGTACTCTTAACATAAAACAAGAAATGAATAAATTAAAATTATTGTTTAAACTCCTGGTTTGCTTTGTTATGTAAAGTCCAAGAAGCTAATAAAACACACCCGACTTGTTTCAAGTTCATGTTATTAGAAAAACACCAAACTAAGCTTTATATAAAGCAAAATCTTATTTTAGCTTTTTTTGATTCAATAAAGTAGTTGGAAAATGCATAAATAATTGAATTGTAACAGAACAAATAAGTTTAGTAGCTTTTTAATAAAGCCATCAAAAACTCGTTCGGCATTCTGCGCTTATCAAACGCCTCAATTTGCTTTCTCATCCATCACCAATATTGCCTCAAAACCTCAAATGTCACCACATTTCCGTCCAACGCTCAATTACGTAACTTTTTTAACCAGGTTATTGACCATCGCATACTTGCCTTATTATTTATTAGCTTTGGTGAGAATAAGCACATTTATCAGCAAACGAAAGAAGTACGCTTTATGTGGGTAAGAAGGCCCCTCGATGACCGTTAGAAAAATCCGGAAATTTCTACGAGAAGGCGGTTTGTAATTATTTTAAGACAGATGGTCATTTATTCAAAGATTTGGCTGTGTAATTGGGGCACGCAACACATTAGTGATTGAAGAATATTTTTTGACTGCAATGACTTGGCAGAAGTGTTAAAATTTTTAACAACTTTTGGTTTGGTTAAGGAGGAGTTCGATGATTAACATCTCAACAGTTAATCGCTAGAAAAGCAAGGAAAATAAATTACATATTAGCATAATTTAAAAATTAATTAAAGTGAGTTAGTGACTTTGGTTTCTAATTTCTTAGCCGGTACTACTTTTTGTTCGAGTACTAAATAAAAAATAATTGAGTGGAGCTACGTGTTAAACTCTGCTCGAAAAAAATTAAAAACACAGAATAAATTAATTAAGGGTAAGATTTGAAAGTCATTATTGTGGGAACGAGGAGAGTGAAAATAAAGTACTGCTCGAGTGACAAAGAAAGGTCACGTAATTATGAAAGAGACCTACAAGCATAAACCATGACAAATTAAAAAAGAGTACCAAAAACCAACAAAACACTAGTACCATCTCGCTAAGCAAAAACAAATAAGTTAATTAGACTGCAACTAAGCATAACTGCAAGGTCAAGTACCAAACGTGCTCAACACAATCAATTCGTCAAAGCGCTTTCGTTCTTTTTGTGAAACGGAAAGAGAAAATGCATCTAAGAATCTGGAACGGAGTTTGATCTTAATTGCGCGCACGCAAGGTACTACTTGGAGATAAATTGTAGTACCGCGATGTTATCATTTGAGTCTAATTAATTTTTCATTGTTTGCAGGATGCCAATTTTATCCACCAGGGGAGTACCTCAGGTTCGTGAGAGTACCAGAAAATCTCAGGGTTGGGGAGGAGGTGCTGAGAATCGAGGTTTATCCCAGGAATAATTTGAGTCTAAAGCCCGTGGATAAGGTATAATAAAAATACATAATGAGTAGTTTTGTAACCTACTTGGATGGGTACTACTCATGCAATTTAAGTGATATGTGATGTAGGTGGATTTGGATTTGTTCGACATGTGTACTTTGCAAATTCTAATTAGATTTGAGGTCTACACTAGGCAGTACCACAGTAAAAGACCGTTAGTGGCTGATGTAGTACCGTCCTCTTTTAATTAATTAGACGCAAAATAGATTATATCTAATTCCATAAAGCGTTACTAGCTGATATACATAAATTGTAATATTTTTAGTGTTTACGGTAAATTTCTCTATTTAGAATCTTATTTATTTAGCTCAATAGTACTACAGTAATTAAGACGTGACAAATAAGGTAGTAAGGTAGTACACTTATAATTCAGAATATTACATTTCTTTTACATTTTTTTTGAGATAAAACATACAGGCTGCGCCAGAACTCGCGCTCCGTGGTAAGGTAAGATACCAGGAACATGGAAAAAATATTAAAAAAAATCTAGTTATGAGATTTAAAATTTTGCATTGTGACTTTATTTATTTTCGTTGGAAAATAATTTTCCAAGTTTTTTTGCTACAGGCTATTAAAAGAGGAAACTAACAAACTATCCTAAATTGTAACTTTATTTAATGGTATTTGAGGCTTTTATTAACATACAGGGTGCGCCAGAACTCGCGCCCCAGAGAAAATTTTCAAGTAAGGTAAGACACTAGGAACATGAAAAAAATGTTTAAAAAATTCTATCTGTCAAAAAATTTTGACATTTATTTTTTGACATTTGACATTTTTTTATAATTTATCTATTTAATGATACTGATGATCTTGTATATGTTTTTTTACAATTATTTAGTAAAGGGACAAAAATTCTGCCAATAAAAGCCACAAATAACATTGAACAGAGTTACAATTTAGAATACAGCTTCCTTGTTTCCTCTTTTAATAGCCTATAGCAAAAAAACTGAAAAATTATTTTTCCAACAAAAATAAATAGAGTCAAAGTGTAAACTTTAAACCCTCGTAACTTCGAAATTTTTATAGATAAAATTTTTTTAACATTTTTTCCATGTTCCTGGTACATATCGCATTTTCTGGCGCAGCCTGTATACAAGATCATCAGTATTATTAAATAGATATAAAAAAATGTCACATGTCAAATGTCAAAAAATAAATGTGAAATTTTTTGAGAGATAACATTTTTTAAACATTTTTTCAATGTTCCTGGTATCTTATCTTACTTGAAATTTTTCTCTGAGGCGCGAGTTCTGACACACCCTGTATATTTTACATGTATGGTATAAGTGGCAGACTCTAATTACCTATTCATAAAATGAAAAAAAGTAGTACCTTTCCAATGTCTAACCTCTTATTACTGATTACAGTACAGCGTTACTTATAATGTTAATAAAAATGATCAAGTTTTTTTGTTTTTTTTAGTAGTAAGAGTTACCTATGTAGTAAATACTTTTAACTAATATTAATAATAATTGGACTATTTGCACTGTGAAATTATTATAGCAGGTTTGACATTTGGATACTATTATTACTCTTATTACTCGTAACAGAAGTTTCGTATCAGTACTTTTGAGTTCAAAAAAATAGTCGAAGAATGATTGATAAAGTATAACATTGGATTTATTAATTATTACTTGTCACAAGATATTTATTTGGTATTGCAAAGGTACTACCGACTTTCTAGCACTCATGTTATCATTAAAATTGACGTAATGTTACAGTAATTGTAAATGTTTGCTGCATAATTGTTTATTTCAGTTATTAATCAAACAATTCTCTGTCGAATAGTATAAATTTATAATGCACCACTTTTCATGTTTGTGTAAAAATAATAGTATATTATTCAACGAGAATAAATGATGGCTATAATTCGAGTCTTTTAATCACCTGAGTGTTCAGTAGGTCCAATAGGGAAGAGTTTTAGAATATGGCTTTTTATTATGAATTCAGCAAAATGTTCATTTAAGCAAAAATTATAATACAAGTCAAGTATTGGTACCTCTGAATTAATTTTCTACATTTGAAAATATTTGTGTAAACGGTAAATATGTTGCAATAGAAGTTTCTCTTCCAGATAGTACCTTTTAGTAGTTCTTGAAAGCATTTATGAATTTTATTGTAACGCTATTTTACGACCAAATATGTAAAACAAAATAATATAAGATAAGATAGACTTTAATGCATACAAATTTAAAGAGAACATTTTAGTACTACATTACAAGATGCAGAACCGGAATTTAAGTACTACATTTTTATATTAATCTTGAATAAAATCAAAGAAAACTTTGTATGCTATTCAGTGAGGTACTATTTTTATATTTCGACGATGCCAAATATGGAATAATCGGTTTCTCTTCTAGACTAGTAGTACCGTACATACCTGAATATATTTATGTTGATCAAAGTAGATAATATGTTTTTTTTTTAAACTATTAAATAAAATTTTGTGTTGGGCACATTAAAATTATTGTTGGTACTTATGACAAGTAGTACCTTTCCGAGTACTAGTCATAAATTTAAAAGTTATTTCATTGTTTATGATATTTTAACTACAAAACTATTGAGTTAGTACCCGGTACTGCTATTTCACCTATTCCACAAAACTATACAGTTTGAGTAATTTTTCTTCATGTCTATCTCAATTCTAATCTGTTTATATCATGCCTACACCATAATTTGCATGTAGTACTCGCAGCGTCCCAGAAAAATCCAATCTAACGATTTGTTTTGCATTCCATTCAGGATGAAGACGTCCATTACTTCACCTACCGAGATTTTAATCGGACCACAGTTTCACTTCTTCTTGCGAGATCACTGGAGGACCTTGTAGATTCAGATAATCCACGAAACGTACTCAAATTCAAAGTTTCTTGTGACTACGACGACGGAGAAGATATCGTAAGTGTTATTACTTAATCCTAATCAAAACGGATTAAATTTGCTTGGGTACTAGACCGAAAACGTGAACAACAAATCCTATTCAAAATTATCTACAGAGATTTTTGTAAGCGGAGGTTAGGTAATGAATTTTTGCGAACACGGTAATTTATAGCACCCACATTGTAACTGTAAAGTTCTAAAGTATTACCGGATCATAAATCAAAGAGCGACATCTTTGCAAATATACTGCAACATCGTTCTTGGATTAATTAGAACTTCACACGTGTTTATGACAACTTTGAATAAGAATAAATTAGTAACTGTAAACAAATATAACAAAGAAGAATTGATTATAATAAGTGAAAATTTAATTTTAATTTTAAAATATACATTTCACTAATTACACTTTGAAATTCGCATATAATTAACTGTCGATTTTTTTTGATGTGAAGACTACATCTCAATATATAAAGTGGATAATCAATCAATTTTATTGAAAATAAAGTTTGCTTTAGACGTCTAAACGTTACAAGAATAAAGAGCTAATGGAATCTTTTGAATGTATCTTGTAATCTCCTGCAGTGTCAGAATTAATGAATGCAGAAAAATAAAATCGGAAAAAATATATTAATTGAAATAAGTTTCTCATTTTATCGTGATGGACTTGCAAGAACTTTCATTACTGACCGTTCTCAATAGCTAAGTGGAAGATAATGATAGTGTTAATAACATTATATTTGTATAATTACAACATTCACTTCTCATAAATACTAATAAAGTTAATAATATGAATGATATATTGTTTGTTTTAAAAGGATAATAAATTTGAAAATTATTTTTAAACAAGTTTGTATAAGACAGGATATGCCGAAGAAAAATATCGATTGCCACAAGCTGTAAATAGTTTATCTCAGCTATAAAAGGACTTTAATTAAATCGAAGAAACGGATTATAGGAACATTTCGCTCGTAATTAACAACTGAGAAATCGCAACAGCAGGAATTAAAGTCATATGTAATAGGAGGATATTTGTAATTGGAGTAGGTTGTATAAATTATTAGATACTTTAAAAATTGACTTTTAACAAGAAGAAGAAAATGTTTGCAACGAAGGCCTTATTGTATTTTAATTATAACTAAAACTTTTTGAAATTAAACAAACTGGAAAATGAAGAAACTATGTATTTTTTATTAATTTAAATAATTTTTTTTTGAAACTTCTGAGAGAAAATCCTTGTTGGTAAAGTTTTTCTTTCGACAATGTACCGGGTGTCATAAAAACGTGAAAAACTTCTCAGGATGGTTTCCTAGATCAAAATAAGAAAAAAGTTCCTACGGATCCATGTCCGGAAATGCTTCTTAAGGAAGTTAGAGCCCTTTGGCAAAAGGCCTTTTTTTCAATTATTTGAGTAACCGATGGACAAAAATTTACAAAAATTGCATCTGGAGTAATTTTTTGGCGCTATCAAAAATTTTTGTTGATATCAAAAATTGTGTACCCTATTTAGGGGGAGGTACGAAGTCAATCCACTTAAGGCGTAGAATTTTGCTTTGGAAAAGTTTTTTAATTTCTTTGGCAGATTGGGATTTATTGGCAATTTAAAAAAAAAAAAACGTCTTTTGTGATATTTTTATACTAAGAAAAAAACGAGTTTTATCTTAACTGTGCAAATCTTTCAACGTTTTTTTCGGACAAATATTTTAAAACAAGACGTAATAAATAAAAGAGAAAAATTCTAATTTTAGTGCTAAATACAGAAACACAAAATGTTTGAAAATATATTTAAAAATAATGGCATTTAAAAACCCTTTTATCATTCTAAACGGAAAATCATTTTTAAATAAAATTCTACACCACATTTTTTTAAAGAGACCTATTTTCATTTTCTCAAAATATCATTTTCTGAAAATATAACCTTAACCCAATGAGTAAGGCAACTTTTGGGTCAGCTTCTGTAATTATTGTATTTTAAATTTATTTTCTATTTTTTGGTTTAAAAAAAATTAAACATCATGTTTTTGATTATTTGATATTGTTACTCATGTAGATCAGTACATCACCTATAAAAGCTATTTCATCATATGTATTTTTTTTTTAGTTTTATATTTGACTTTTTTTAGAAAAATACAATAGTTTTAATTTTAAGGAATTCTGTGTACCTAATTATTTGTCTTTGTTCAAAAAATATGAAGTGAAATAAAATAAAGAAAAAATATTAAAGTATATAATAATTGTTTGATAATAATGTGTAACATTATATTTTTTGTTTAATGTAATATGTAAGTCAAGAATTCAATAATCAAAACGTTTGATTCATGCAAATGAGCTTGATCAGAATTGTTTACATTTTCTACCATCTTTCAACATATTGTCCAAAAACATTTTTGTTTTTGAAATATGTATTATCATTGATAATAACAATGAAAACAAAGAAAAACAAACATTAAATAAAAAATACAAAAATAAAAGAAATTAAAAAATATATACATGGATATAAAACACAGTTTTATTTTTCTTATTATATTCTTGTTTCCACTTGGATTGGAATTGCAATTTGTTTCAATTTCTTGTGTCTATATTCTAAAATATGTATTTTGGTAATTGTTTGAGTAAACACGAAAAAATAGTAATTTTACTTTTCCTCGAACGTGAATTAAATAAAAAGTCCGCCTCTGTCCCTCCCGGCTAATAAATCAAAAACAATTTAGTTACATTGCAACTCGGCATTAATCCTTCCAACCTCAATTTATCTTCCCTGTATACTTTCGCTTCTCATTTAATGCCCCTTTAATGGCATCCCACTAAATAAATAAAATTTTTCCCTCATTTACGACTCTATCGAATCTCGTAGAGAAAGAAGCACACGCATAAAGCTCATGTTGCCTCGAGTCCGACTCTTGCTTCGTTTATAAGATGATTACAGGATGCGGATTAATGTTTCTTTTGTATGCAGATTACATCCTCTTTGTCAGTGACGGTGTATGTGGAGGATGTGAACGACCATGCGCCCGTTTTCGTCGGTGCACCTTATCAGCTCGCCGTCGATGAACTAACACCTGTTGGTAAGTGGTTTCGTGTGGATGTAGCTAACAATTTCCGCATTAAATTCTTAATTAAATTGGAATTGTCGAGATATGTTGACATATCGGACGCATTTCTGGGTCTAATTATGTGGAGGTATTAATTTGATGCAATGGTTTTGCTATTTTAATCGCGGTCGTGCCGGTAGCATGTCTGGTATTTTAAGTGCAAGCGAGATTTATTGCGCCCTTCAGCGACATAAGTATCGATAATAATTTTGTTTTAGATTTATTCTTGTTAGGAGCAGGATGTCATAATGAGAAACAATGCAAAAATGGCTTTATTTGCTGGGAAAACTGAATAACGACATAATTCAGTATCGATCAATATAAACTGTAATTATACACTTTAAAGTTTTAACGCAATTTAAACTAAAGCATGTAATTTATTGTTGGCAATAAAAATAAAAATTGCATAACAGAACAAGAACTACGTACAGTTGAGCACAGCATGTGGTTGATAGTCTTGTCCACAGTTAGACAATTATACTTTTTTTATTAAATACTAAAAGAGACCCCTGAGAAATGAACTTTGCAATAAATTTTACATGTTCTATAAAAACAAATTAGTATAAACAACGAGTTATGTTTTATTAGACAAGTAAATAAAATTCTTTCCCGACTATTTCTTAAATTAAAATTTTAAAATAGAAATATTGTAAAAAATAAGCTTCTAATTTTAAAACATTTTAATAGATAATAGTGATGAATAATAAAAGTAAGAGTCATAAATGTCACGAATTGTATTTGTTTGTTATTTACGACACGGTGAATCGAAATATCATTAATTCATGTTACTGAACATGATGTTTGGTGTTTCTTTGCATGTTGGCTTTGTTAATAGAAGTGAACATTGAAGATGACGTTAATATTAGTCTAATGTTGACAGGAACATTGTTTATCTACCATTATTTGTATGCTATCGCAGGTTGTGAGTTTATTAATTGATTTGCGAAATTCAAAGAAATAAAGAAAGTTAAAACAACAAATTAGTGGCAATATAATTTAATCACTAAATGAGATCACTTTTATTAACCGTTTAATCAGTTTTTAAAATACAATTAACAAACAAAATTTACACAAAAAATTTATACAAACTATTCTACGTAGTACAGTATGTCCCCGGATTGAGTTTACAAGAGAAAAAAATGTTTATCTTTGATCTTACGCCAAAACTGCAAAGGAAAAACATTATTTGCTTTACTTGAAACGTGCAAATCTGTAATTAAAACTTCATTATTCTAACCCAGTAGAAAGAAAAGTTCATTTTTCTCTTGATTTTCGACTTAAAATAATTTTTCTCTGATTTTTAAGTCCTATCACATTCGCGGTTTTATTATTTTGACAATGATGTCACTTTGACAAATGAGTTTACGCAAGTTAACTAACAAAAATGTTTGTGAAAAACATAATTTTAATAAATGACAAGTCAAAGAAGAGCTTTAACCAAAGTCATTTATAACAAGAATTACCATTATTTAATTAATAAATTAATTGTCAAAGTGACATATAGTTGTCAAATAATTAAAACGCCATTGTGATAAGATTTAAAAAGCAGAGAAAAATTATTTTAAGTCGCAAATTAAAAAAAAAAACTTTTCTTTTCACTGAATCAGAAAAATGAACTTTTAAGTACAGATTTGCTCGTTTTAGGTGAAGCAAAAAATGTTCCTTTGCAGTTTTGGCGTAAAATCAAAGATAAAAAACGTTTCCTTTTGTAAACCCAATCCGGGGACATATTCTATATTCTATATTCTATATTCTATATTCTATATTCTATATTCTATATTCTATATTCTATATTCTATATTCTATATTCTATATTCTATAT